ATCCAACTAAACATCCAACTAAGCATCAGTCAGAACATCCAACTAAACATCCAACTAAACATCCAACTAAGCATCCATCAGAACATCCAACTAAACATCCATCAAAACATCCAACTAAACATCCAACCAAACATCCATCAGAACATCCAACTAAACATCCAACTAAGCATCCGTCAGAACATCCAACTAAACATCCAACTAAACATCCAACTAAGCATCCATCAGAACATCCAACTAAACATCAGTCAGAACATCTAAATAAACCTCCAACTAAACATCCATAAAACATCCAACTAAACATCCATCAGAACATCCAACTAAACATCCATAAAACATCCAACTAAACATCCATCAGAAGATCCAACTAAGCATCCATCAAAACATCCAACTAAGCATCCATCAGAACATCCAACTAAACATCAATCCCTCCATCCATCTCAAAACTATTTGTTTTTTAAAGTCTGTTGTTTTTTATTTGTCAGACGTTTTTTAGTCTTTAATTGTTTTGGTTCTTTTTTTTCCAGGGAGTCCGACTCTGAGAGTTCTGGTTCTGGGCCGGTTGATGTCTCATTCCTGGGTTGTGGCTCTGTGGCAGGGGACAGTGACTGGGACTCGGACCTGTCTGACTCAGATCCCAGTCGTTCCTCCAGAGTCTCAGCCGGGGGCCTAAAATGTGCTGGAGCAGGACGCTCCAAGAGAGCGCCAGCCGAGTCGGACTGGGACATGTTCGGAGATGCTACTGAACCCGAAGTGCTGGGAGAGCTCTTTCTGGATCAGGACAGAAGCAGCAACGGGAAAACCGGGCAGATCACCAACAGGCCGGCAGCAGCTGAAGCTGCAACAGAAAGTTGCTCCGAGTCTCCAACCCTGAAGACGGAGACGTCCTTAGAGCAGATGTCCACATCAAAGAAGGTGACCTGGCAGTTCAAACCGGCCCAGAGGTCCGTCTGCACCGGAAGCAGGAAGGAGAAGGATCTGCCTAGATTACCAGAAACGGGTGGAGGTGACGGCCACAGACCCTCCCCTTCATCCTCATCATCTTCGTCTCCATCTTCATCGTCCTCAGGCTGATTCCTCAGAGGAAGGTTGGTCTAGCTCTGGGACACGGAGCTGAAAAGCACCTGATGATTCAATGGTTTTTCTTTTCGTTTTGCTGCTGCAGTTGCCTTCCTCAGCCTTGTACTCGCTGCATAAGAGTTGTTGCTTTTTCTTAGATTAGCCGACAGATTCTCATCTCTACAGTAGTTCAGCTTGATGTGAGACTCGCTGCGGCCGGCTTTTGGGAAAACAGGGTGAAATTATTCATTTAATCTTTATTTATTATCTAAACTGTAGTTTTTGGGCTTTTTTCTTTTAAACTGCATCATGTGAACAAGCAGGAGGTCGACCTTCAAACTCTGCTGCTCATGTTTACCCTGTATTTTATAATCATATTCAGATTTACAGTGTATTTAATAGTGTTTAATAATATATTTTGATCTTTCAGATATAGATAAATATATATATATATATAAATATCCCATGTACTGAATGTTTGCAGAGGAATGTTTTATTCTTCATCTAGACTCAGATAGTGAATGTTATCTTGGAGCAATATGCCTGGAGGTTCCGGCTACCTTCTTTCTCTGATTATTTCTGGCATATTTAGCGTAAAGCAGCCTCAGGTTTTGTCAACCTGCAGGAAGCTTTGGCTGCTCAGATCCGTCTGGGAACAAAACCTTTCTTCTTTGTTCTGAATTCAAATGAAATAGAAATAAATCTACATTCAGCCTCTGATGGGTATGATGTCCCATTAATCCACAGCAACAACCTGCTGCTGGATTGTTTCCTCCTGAGTTTTCTGATCCGCACTGGCTCAAATGTAGGCATTCATTAAACAGAATCAGGACCCGCAAACTTCCGACTGGAGCTGATCTACGCTCTGCTTTTTGGAAAGACCAGGAACATCGGGCTGAAAGAGAGATGTGGGTTTACTGTAGGCAGGAAGGTTATAAGGCTGCAGGCTGAACTCTGTTTGAAGATCAACATCTGCTGTAAATATTGAGTTCTCCATCAACCAACCAACGTTCTGCCTTTTACTTCCCACCCTCACCTGTACTGTCCATCTCCAGAGCACATCTGTCATCCCTTCATCCACTCTCCATCTCTCTCAGACAAAACATCCAGATGTTAGTGGAGGAAT